GATGAGGTGGGGCATGCCTGTAATCCCAGCACTGGGGAGGCTGAGGCAGGAGGATCATGATTGGGCCAGCCTGGGCTATATAGATCCTATCTCCAAAATAATAAATAATTAATTAAAATAAAATAAATCAACAATACTACTGAAGGCCCAGATCAGGCACCAGCCATCCCTGCCGTAGCCTTCTATAACCATAACGCATACCTGAGAGAACCCACTGATGAAAGGGAAGCTAAAGCGGCTCCCACCCATAGAGGTTTCGGTTGGTCATGAGTCAGCCCTGTGGCTTTAGGGCCCGTGGTGAGGCAGCTCGTCAAGGCAGGCACATGTAGTAGAGAAAACCCACTCACTCCATTGCCAAGATGCAAAGGGAAGTAGAGAAAGAGACCAGAGTCCCACAGTCCTCCAGGGCCCACTCCCGAAACCTAACTTCCTCCAGAGAAGCACCTGCTCTTCAAGCCTCTTGCTCCTTCCTGTAGTACAGAAGGGGATCCAGGCTTTGTGTGCAGGGCCTCTGGGGAAAGATCAAGAGGCAAACTAAAGCAGCTCCTCCCAAGGCCATTGAGAAACACTCCCGCCAATGCCTGCAGTCCTCCCTGCCTCTGGCAGACCTGGTCACACCCATCTCCACACCCAGCCCACCCAGGGTCCCATCTCCTTGGCCTTGCTGCAGGACCACAGAAGACTCCAGGGCACAGCTGCGCTCACCTGGTCTGCCCAGCTCCGGTCTTCCTCACTGTGGGGACTACAGAACGGCCACCCAAAGATACATCCCCATCCCAGATATGTAAATGTGACTGCCTGAAGGGAAGGGGCCTTTGTATGTGTAACGCAATTGAGCATCCAAGGTGAGAGCGTCCTGGTTTATCTGGGTGGGTCTTAAATTCAAAGACAACTGTGTTTGTAAGAGACAGAAGAAGTAACTACAAGGGCAGGAAAAGACAGGTACATGGAGACAGAGGCAGCCACAAAGCAAGAAACTCCCAGGGCCACCAACATCTGGGTAAGAAGGAGGAACCCGCCCTAGAGCCTTCTAGGAGCACAGTCCCACCAACACCTTGATTCTCTACTTCTGCCTTCCCGAAGTATGAGAAAATATATCCCTGCTGTTTTAAGCCACCAGGGCTGTTGTAATTTATTGCAGCACTTACAGGAATACACTTATAAAAAGTACTTTGCCAACGTCTGTTGGGGGAGAAAGGGTACACTGTCTACATGACTATGTCCTCAGTTCTTTTTTTGTTTTTGTTTTTTGAGACAGGGTATCGCTATATATATTTCAGACTGAGCTTCAAATCACTATGTAGCCCAGGTTGGCCTCGAACTTGCAGCAATCCTCCTGCCTCAGTCTCCTGAGTGCTGGGATTACAGGTATGTGCTGCCACACCTGACTCTTTTTTTTTTTTTTTTAATGTCCTTATTTCTTTTAGCTTTGATTCAGACAGAAACAACAGCTCATTAAAATGTTTTTCTAGGGCTAGAGATGTAGCTCAGTGGTACAGTGCTTGCCTAGCATGCACAAGGCCCTGGGTTTCATGCCCAGAAATACAAAAAGAAAAATAGAAAACAAAAATGGTTTCTAAAATCTAGTTTCTTATCATTTAATGTGACTTCTTCCACCAGAAGGGCAGAGTATGACTTGCTGATTCATTAGCCTTGATTTGGAAAAATAAAAGTGGAAACAAAAGTAACAAACTATCTGACACCTACCTTTATGAACACACAGCATCCTTTGGCCGGGGATATAGCTCAGTGGCATAAGTGCCTGCCTGGAAGCACAAGGTCCTGAGTTTGATTCCCGATAATATGGGAAAAAAAAAAAAAAGACACAGCATCCTCATATTACTCCTCTCGCTAAGCACCTTCCCCTGCCCGGATGTGGAGTTTGGTGCTCATGGTTTTGCAGACATCACCGAACACTGACAATGACGGCTTTAAAAGGACGGTGACAGGGTTGAGAGGTTAAAATTTTTTACCTATTTTTCTCTTCTGCCTGGCCTAAAAGATCCATGTTATTTCCTTCCTGTGAATCAGCTCAGTTCTTTACCACACAGAGCCTGTGCAAGGAGGGCATACCCAGGCCTCATGTGCTTGCTTTTATTGTTTTGCTTTCAAATCAAATGCTTCAGTGCTTGGATAACTCAAAATGAAGAGAGAAAATGTGTTTTTCTTCAGGCCTACAGAAATCAGCACTGAGCGCTCAAGAGGTTGTCATGTAAAACACAGAATAAACAAACACTGGAAGAAGAGGACACAGAAAGCTAAGACGGGAGCATCAGTCTTGAAGGTAACGTATGAGACAGCCCCTGCCAGGGACCCAGCGTGGGCACAGAACATAGACAATGAGTCCACACAGGTCACAGAGACAGTGAGGTTTGCCTGACCTCTTCACCACCCTAGTATCCTTTCCTCTGTGATCCAAAGAAGTTCCACAACACCAGGCCAGGCCCACTGTGGCCCCACCACCTCACTCCTGACACTTCCACTTCCCAAGCCAGTTTCCCCAAGACCCTGACCCTCTGGGGCTTGTGCTGTGCCAGGGGCTGGTCTGTAGAGGACCTATACTTTCAAAGAAGCAGCTACTACTGAAACACATCTTATAGGCTTGGGCTACCAATCTGAGCCTGCTAAACCAGAGAGCGGGTTGCTTTCCTTCTCTTATGGAAAGTAAAGCCTTGGCCCTCTGTCTTAGTCTGTTTTCTGTTACTATAACAAAATACAGGAGGCTAAGTAATTTATAAACAAAAGAGGTTTATTTTGGCTTGTGGTTTTGAAGCCCAAGAGCAGGGAGCCGGTGACTCCTTGACTTCTGGGGAGGGCTTCATGCTGTATCATCCCAAGATACAGTCACGGGAAGTGGGAAGGGTAAGACGAGTCTCTGATTAGACCAAGGAAATATGATACAGAAATCTGGCTTTTGCAACAAAGCCACTGCTGTAATAACCAATCAATCTACTAATCTATTCATGCTCTCGTGGCCCATCGTCTCCTAACAGTCCCAGCTGGTCCCACCTCCTAACACCGCACAAATTTCCACATGAGTTTTGGTAGGGCTGTTCAAACCGTAGCACCTTCTCACCTCAGGGAAAGAGGAGAGCTCGGGGAAGAGGGAAGCCCTGCCCTCTGGAACCAACCAGAAATGAAGAGTCCTGCAACCCAGAGAAGGAACACAGAGAAGCCAGGGTGCTAATGGGGACAGGGACCACACTACACACATGATAATGGCAGGTGATGGTATGGAGGGTACGGCATAAATTGCATTTTAATGGTGACCTTCAATGCCTGAAGGAAGGAGTAACTAGGAATTGTGGACATCGGTCAATGTGAGAAATGTCCTTGAACAGAAAGGTTTTCAAAATTCTACAAAAATCAAGTCAAACTGATTTGGCACATACCTGTAAACCTAGTACTTTGGGTGGCTGGGGTAGGAGGATTACAAGTTCAAGCCCAGCCTAGGAAACTTAGCGACTTAGTGAGACTCTTGATAATAAGAAATAAAAAAGACTGGATATATAGCTCATTGTGAAGGCCCTGGGTTAAATCCTCAGTAACACACACACACACACACACACACACACACACACACACACACATACACACACACACTCAAGCCAAGAGTGATAGCATAAGCCCTGAGCAGGAGGATCTTGAGCTGAGCAGGAGGATCTTGAGTCTGAGGCCAATGTGGGCTACATAGTAAACTCAAGGCCAGCCTGGACTACACAGTGAGATTCTGTCCCAATAAAAACAACAAAAAATTAAAATCTTGTTTAAAAAACCACACCAAAACAAAGCTTCTACCGCTGTGAATTTAAGATTTTAATGAACGAAATTCAAATATTTTGAATGAAACTCTAAAATATTTCTCATAATAACTGGAAACCTGGAATACAGTTTCCAATTTTCTACCTTCAAAGGAAACATGACACCAAAGTATTACTGCCAGTATTACAAATCAGCTGGAGTTATTTAAAAAGGACAATGTAGAAGCTAGATGTGATGGCACACACTTGTAATCCCAGCTACTCAGATAGAGATAGAAGCTGAGATAGAAGCATTGCAAGCTCAAGATCAGTCTGGGCAAGCTAGCAAGACCTTGTCTAAATTTTTAAAATGCTGGAGGGATAGCTCAGTGGCAAAGCACTTGGTCAAATGGTATAATAGATAGCCAAAGGGGAGGGGAAGCCAAGTCCAGCAGAAGTACAACTTCTGTCAAGACTTAGAGAACCAAGCTAACACATCAGAAAGCCTAGAATTGGCCCCACCTGCTGAATAAGGGCTCTGCCTGACTTCTACAGAGATCAAGTCTTTCTGGGAACTGATCAGACCAAAAGTGTTTCAGGGAAAAGCAGCAGATGCGAGCCAGTGTTGCACTATATCCCCTAACACCCTAATCCCTGCCCCTGACACTTAAGATCTGAATGGTGCTATATGTGGCCTATGGAATTTCCTCCATAAAAATACAATTGTCTCCATTAGATACATGGTATAAACCAGTTAAAAATATATATATAGGACTCATTTGACATGGTTATGCTTACATTCATTTCATCCTACTTACCATGGGCAAAGCCCAGGGTCAATCTCTAGCACTGAAAAGAAAGGTGACCCCGCCCTGAACACCTCTCCAGCTTTAGCCCTCAGCCCCTACCGGCCACACCCCACCCTGGTGCACAGCATCCTACAGCACCTCAAGCCCTATGGGACTAATTGCAGCTCCTTTCTGGCCTCTGTAACTTTAAAAAGGCCATTCCTGAAATGCTTTCCCTTTCCCTGCCTTTGCCCAGGGCTTTCTCCTACTCATATTTCAGGTCTCAACACAAGTCCAACCTAACCACTCCTTCCTGGGGCTCTAAATGGTGCTCTGCGAATCCCCTGCTCTGGTTTGGAAGTGTGTGTGCCCCACCCGCAAAGGCGCAAGTGTTAGAGGCTTACTCACCAGCCTGTAGCACTACCTGAGGCTGAGGCGCAGAACCTTTAGGAGGTGGAGCCTAGTGGAAGGAAGTGAGGTCACTGGGGGCGTGGCCTTGAATGGGATACTGGCTCCTCAGCTCCTTCCTTGCTTCCAGGTTGCTGTGAGGTGAGTATCTTCCCTCTAGGACACAATGGGACTGCGATGCTGTGCCCCACCACAGGCCCAAAGGCAGCATGGCAACCAACCCTAGCCTGAAACCCCTAAAACCTGAACCAAAGTAAACTTTTCCTCATTTAAGCTGATTCTGTCAAGTATTTTTTCACAGTGATGGAAAGCTAACACATCTCCCATCGAAAAGTTCACGCCTTTTTTCTAGAAGCCGTGGGATGACGCCAGCTATGTATCCCACTGTGTGGACTAGGAATTAGAGGAAGCCAATCCCTGGAGAAAGAGACGGGAAAGAAAGAGGCAGAAACATGGAAAAGCTAAGAGGAAAAGGACTGACGGATACTCCTGACCGGAAGCCCAGGTCCTGGTGCTCCACAGGGCGCCACATGGTGCTGCAAGCTAGCGCAGCCACTCCCGCTGAAGCTGGTTTCTGCCATCTGCTGCCCGAAAAGACCTGCACCTATGTCCCCACCTGGACTGGGGGCTCTGAATGCAAGGGCAGTGACCAGCCACGTCATAGCAATATTTTACACAGATGGATGAATGATAAAGACCAAATATCTGAAAATCTTCAAAAAGCATGGATAATAAGAAGCTTACTAGGAAAGAGTCTTGGGTTGGGAGTGAAAAGCCTATGTAATGATTTTGATTCTACTACTAAATAACTGTAACCATAGATAATGCATTAAATCTTTCTGGGCCTCTATTTGGTCCTGGAGATAACATTAAATGGTTGGAAGACATTTGTATTATTTCACCTATGCTTTCTGTTTTATTAAAGTTTTTCTGAAATTATGTATATTAGTTCATTTTTCCAGCCAAGCATGGTGGCACACACCTTTAATCCCAGCACTAGGGAGGCTGAGGCAGGAGGATCACCATGAGTTTGAGGCCAGCCTGAACTACGTAGACAGACCCTGTTCCAAAAAAAATTTTTCCTTTTCTGTGAGATAGTCAACATGATCAAACCTAGTAAATACCTTCCCAGTAAAAGCAAAAAAACCTTACCATTTCCATTATCTGCTATCCTTTTACCACAGATAAATGAAACACAGTCTCTGGTAGACTTGTGACAAATTCTGAAGAACTTGAGGACTCCCAGATACTAGATTCAGTGAGCCCAAGCCTCTGGATATCCCAGGCTGAAAACTCTGTACTTTTTTTTTTTTTAACTCTGTACTTGATAACTGATAAGCTCTAAAATTAAATTATTCCAATAATTTCTTACATGCCTCCACATGTACCCATCCACATACATGACCCATCCACATACATGACCCAAAGCATGAGAGGAAGTAAACAAGAAAGGCCTGTGGTGAGCTCTGAGTAACTTGAGGGTTGAAGATCACTTGCAATACATTGCCCTGTGATCCTGGTAACATCTGCAGGCCAGTGAATTCTTCTCTTGCCTCCATCTTATAACTGACCAATCATGTTTACTGAATATCTCCTATGTGCATCCTAAGTGCTTCTCATCTGTTGTCCCAATTACCACCTACCCCCACCAAAGCCTTATATGGTAGGGAGTATGTTAGACCTCTACGGCCACCATAACTAAATTATCAGAGGCGAAGTGGCTTAAACCACACAGTTTTCCCCACACAGTTCTGGAGACTACAAATCCAAAATTAAGGCCCCGGTAGATTCAGCATCTGGTGAGAGCCTGATTTCCGCTTACAGACCACCATCTTCTCACCCTAACTTCATATGGTGGGAGGGACAGGAACTCACCAGTGTCTCTGCAACAAGGTCACTATCTTAGTCTATATGCTGCTGTAACAAGTTGCCTTGGACTGAGTAATTTATAAACACAGAAATATTCCATTCATCATTCTGGAGATGGAGAAATACCAGATCAGGGCACACAGAGATTTGGTGTCTGGTGAGGTCTCTGCCTCACAACTTGTTCCTGGGTCCTCATCTGGTAGAATGGGCAAACAAATGCTCTCAGGCCTCTTTTATGAGGGCATTAACCCCATTTGTGAGGGCTGCACCCTCATGACCATCTCCTGAGGGCCCCATCTCTTATCACTATTGCACTGGGCATTAGATTTCAACGTAAGTATTTTGGAGAGGACACAAACATTCAGACTACAGCAGGTTCTAATTTCATTCATGAGCTACCAAAGGCTAATTAGCCACCAAAGACTCCACTACTTAATAATATTGCATTGGGAGTTAGGATTTCAACAAATAAATTTGGATGGAAAAACATTCAGTTTGTAGCAGATAGGTACTAATATTACATCATCCTCACCTTAAAGGTGAGGAAACTGAGCTCAGAAGGTAGAGCTAGGACTATACCAAGACTATCAGATCCAATCCTGAGCTCCTAATCTTCTAACTATACTACTTCTCAACATCCCCACAGGCCACTAACTGACACTATCTGAAGCCAGCAGTGGCACCTGTACTAATTTCCTGAGGCTGCCATACAAAATGCCACAAACTCGACATTTATTCTCAGAGTTCAGGCGGCGAGGAAGTATGAAATGAAAGTAAGTTTCTTTGAGGCCATCTGTGGTAGGCTCAAACTTCTGGTGGCCATCAAGATCCTTGGTGTTCTCTGGCTTATTGCTGCTTGTTTTCCCAGGGACTCTCACTTATGTGTCTCTGCCTTTTTTGTCTGTGTCTTATAAAAACTCCTTTCTTTAGATTTATAAATATAAATATAAATTACTCAGTCCACCCAATGTAAATTACTCAGTCCACCCAATCCAGGATGATTTCATCTTGGGATCTTTACCTCAATTATAACCACAGAGACCCTTTTTCCAAATAAGCTCACATTCACAGGTGCCAAAGCTTAAAACTTGGAAATATCTTTCGGGGGTTACACAATTCAACCCACTACATAACCCAACAACTTCTACCTCTACATTATCATGAGTCATATTTTCATATACTTCCATAGTTCTTTTTTTTTTTTTCAGGTACCAGGAATTGAACTCACAACGTTGCACTTGCCAGGAAGCGCTGTGCTGCTGAGCTAAACCCCCAGCCCCATTTCCATAGTTCTTTATTGGAGGATAGTACATTCCTACGTTCCAAAATTTAGTCCATATATGACTTATTCCAATTAACTAGTTGTGGCCAATTTTAAAAGGGGATTCTGGGTAGAACACTTGCCTGGCATATGCAAAGCCTTGGGCTCAATACTTAGTACCAAAAAAAAAAAAAAAAAAAAAAAAAAAAAACCTCACTGCCTGTCTTGGTAGAAGCTGCCCTGCAAAGAGGTAAGGACTGTCAGGTGCCTACAATGGCTTATGGGGACATAGAGAAAGGAGCATGTTATGGTTTGTGTCTAAATTCCCCCCCAAAGCCTCAAGCGGTCATGGGGCTTTTTCAGAAGTGGCTGGATCTATAGTGTATGGTACTGGGGTTAAGGGGTGATTATTAAATCAGTCTACTGATTGGTTTGACATAGTTCTGCCTAGGATTAAGGGTGTGAGTGCTACACCTGCTCTAGGACGGGGAACCTATATACAATATAAGGGACAGAAAGAGGCTTGTCTTTGCCCTGGTTGCTTTGCTACAGTCTGCCCACCATGACTGTTGTCCTCTGCCTTGGAGCCAGCCAGTTATGGGCTGAAACCTCTACAGACTGGGAGCTAAACAAACCTTTCCTTCCTTAACTTTGGGCACCATGTATTTTGTCTCGGTAATGAGAGAAAAGTAACTAAGACCAGCTGATGCTCCCCAGGGAGGACAGGGAAGGCTCCCACAGAGCAAGTGACATTTGCAGTGGATCCTGAAGGGTGAGTGGGTATGCCTGAGACAGAGCCCTGGGAGGACAAGTCAGGCAAAGGACAAAGCAGAACTGAATTCCAGATGCTGGAACAGATGGGTTAGTTTAGCTAACAATGACCAGTTCACTTTTTTTTAATTGGGTTTTTTTGGTTTTGTTTTTTTTTGAAACAAGGTCTCATTGTATAGCTCAGCATTGCCTCGAACTTGCAGCAGTCCCCTTGCCTCAGCCTCCCGAGTGCTGGGATTTACAATCATGTGCCACCACGCCTGGCCAGTTCATTTTTACTTAGGCCCCATTTTCATCCCATCAGTCTCTGATCAAATTATATTTATTCAGTGATTTTCATTATTTAAGACCCAAACCCTTAGTTTTATAATCCCAGATTTCCACTACCCAACCAAAAGCACTACTTCCAAGCATAAAGCCTGGGCCAGGGATATAGCTCAGCAGCACAAGCACCTGCCTGGCAAGTGCAAGGTCCTGAGTTCAATTCCAGGTACTAAATAAATAAATACAACACAATTGCTGTTTCTCTCCAAAATATTGTTGCTGCACCAAGCACAAAGCGTTTGCCACTGGCCTCCTGTCCTCAATCTTTTACCCAGAGTGCAGTCACCTGGAACTGCCACAGAAAGGGATTCCCTCTAGTTTGCAAAATTCCAACCTTTCTTGGAATTTGCCAAACTTAAGCCCTTTGCCAAACCTTCATAAGCCCACCTTCATTATTAACATTTTTAGGCTCAAAAACTGGGCCTTCTTGTGTTGAGATGCATCTGGAGGATGGTAGCATAACCTGCCTTCCCAAAGGTTTTAACATAGGCAAATGTCAACTCCAGTTGAATAGTAAAAAGAAAATGAGCTGCAGATGGCATAAAGAGGGTAAGAGCCTATTATTTTTTATCCACAATTCTGAAATTCAAGAAGCTCTCCAAACCACAAGTTACTGTCTAACTCTTCGGGTGTCAAGGCTTGACCTGCCCGGAACTGACGTGAGTCTATTTATAGACTTGATCTCCTTCCATGTGCCTATCTATCCTTTGGCTGCAGAAATAGTAAGACATCTGATTGCATAATGCTGCAAGCAACCCCACTGGGGCTGGTGGGTGATATTCCAAGTCCTGCAACCCATCTGGCCCCAAGGATTTAGGATATGAGACTGCTTTGGGCCTGTGTTTGCTACCATGCCACTGCAGGTTGTTTTTAATGACCATGATCCCCCAAGGCTGTGTTTATTCTTAGCTTGAGCTCATTTGAGAGATCAGCCTGGTTGTGGTCACTGAAAAAAAATGATTGTCCAAGGCAGAAAAAATAATGAGCCATGAGCAACTGAAACTAGAAAAGTCACCAGAGACAAGAGACAAGCACCTGGCTAATTCCTCCCCTTCCCTGGTCTCCGTTTTATCACCACAGCCCTCCAGAGACCATATAGTGCAAGAACACTGGTCATGACAAATATAGATTGAATTATGCTGAAGATAAGATTAGAAGGACTTGAAATCCCCACAGTCTGCCTCACAATCCCCCAGATGTCTCGGGGATGCTCAAAGAGCTGCTTTAGAACTATTGCAATGCCCTTCCAGTCAATGACACCGGGAGGACCACTATGTCTATGCACCAGTGCTACCCCTCTCTCAACAGCATATGAGGGCTTGGAAGTCAGAATGGGTTTATGCCCCAACTCTTCTACCTGCTGCATGTGTGTGTTGGAGTAATCAAATTCATTCTCTCCTCATCACTTAAAAGGTTATAATTATCATAATTATCTCTGACTCTGTTTTTTTTGTTTGGCTTGGTTTGGTTTGGTTTGGTTGGGCTTGGCTTGGTTTGGTTTGGTTTGGGTTGGGTTGGTTTGGTTTGGTTTGGTTTGGTTTGGTTTGGTTTGGTTTGGTTTGATTTGGTTTGGTTTAGTTTAGTTTGGTTTGGAGGCAAGGTCTTACTATGCACTCCAGGCTGGACTTGAACTTGCTGTGTAGCCCAGAACTGCCTCAAACTTGAAATCCTTCTGCCTCAGGCTCCCAAGGGCCGGTATTAGAGGCATCTACCACCAGATCTAGCTTTCTGATTATTCCTTTTAGAATCAAATTATAAGACAGATATGATCATCTCATAGAAGCCATAAGATGATATTCAAATGTCATCACTGCCTTTATTTTAAGGTCAGAATATTATTTATACTGGAGTATTTATTTGTTAAGGCAATACTTCTCCAATTTATTATTAGGGGACACTAATGTCCCAAAGATATTGTGCTATTAAAATTGAACAATGACAGTCTTTTCTCACTCTTCAGGGAAAAACACAATCAGTGACAGTATTTTATTGAAGCTAAATTTACCATCAATTAAGTTTTTCTTCAGCGTTGGAGTTGGGAAAACAAACACATTGGAGGTGGATTCTACTTGTCTTAACAGAACCATATGAGTCAGAAGAGATCTTATTAACAATCATTAAGTACTTCATTTTGTGGTTTAAGAATTAGTCTTCCATGCCATCTCCCAGAGTATGAGCCAGGCAAGACACTGAGGACACACAGACAGGTGGGGTCCAATCCCTGTGTTACAAAAACTAATTGGCTGGGGGAGAGAGTTGGTTAAGGGCAAATGGGTTAACAAGCAGTTGCAATAAAATTAAAATTAAATCCCAGACACCCATCGTGGTGTGTAAAGGACAGGGGTGTGTAAAGGTCTTACGTGGGTACCTCGAAAAGAGAGTTTTTCAATCCTTGTAGGGAGGGAATAGATTCAGGAAATGCTTCATGGAGAAAATGACACCATGACCAAGTCTTGGAAAATGTGATCGGGACAATCTTCCTCCATTCCCCCATCTCAAAAGTTCACTATGCCGCTAGTTCTTGGTGTTACCAAACGAGGTGTTCGTGAACTGGACTCAAATTCTAGACTCAGCTTTAAATTCCAAGGTTTTCTAGTAGGAGGGCCTAGCAGTCTGAGTTACAGCCAGACTGTAACAAGGGAGTGGATGGAGAAAGATTAATTAAGGCAGTTGGGTTGGAAAGGACAAGCAGAGCTGACATACCAACATGACAAATGCATACAAGCCCAACCCTAATTAGCAATAAAAAAAATACTTATCTTCAAAATACACAAAGCACTTATTTTCAGTGACAACTTGTTCTAGTCTTAATCTTAATCATAAACATGTAGGTCAACAACTGTTTGGGTCAAACTGGTGTTTTCATGCCCTGTGGTCTTCACTCACCAGCCACTAAGGAGGGGAAGGTAGCCGGTCTGGTTTGGGGTAATGGGGGGATACACTCATTTGCCAACAGGCAGGTGAATCCTCAAAACCACATCTCCAAGAAGCTACGTGTCAATGTGCAAAGAATTCAAAGGCAAACTAGTATTTATACACTTGCTCCTTTATTGTTTATCCTTTCAATTTTAAGGTGGAATGGCTTTCTTTCATCCCTCTTGAGATTTCAGAGCTTGTGCTCAGCCTGGGCTGAATGGAACAGACCCACTAATGAGAAAGGGCCAAGAGAGACCCAACTGTGGGTCCATCAGATCTGTCAGCTAATTAATCAATCATCCGGGGATTCCTCCGTGCCCTGAACTCTGTGAGGCCCCTGATTGGCTCTTTCTCAGCGAGGACTCCCCTTCCCACCTTATCACAAGTAACAACTCCACCACCAGCACAGCTCTGCCCCTGGCTCTGCTTTACTTTTCCCCATAGTGTCACAGAAAATGCCCCCCAGGCTATACTTCAGTTTCTCGGTTGCCCAGGGAATAGTTCCAGTTCCAGTTCTGGTTGCTCCTGTCTCTTAGAAACAGCTGGTCACTGTGATGCATAGTTGGTCACTATGATGCACATTGTATAAACCAATCCCCAATTGACGAGCCTTTCTGCCTCTGTACTTCCTGCTTGCTTATCCCATCTAAGCCCCAGACCACCACAGATCAGGGCCTGATATTCCAGGAATGATCCCAGTCAGTGCCCTTTGATGTAAATAAATCTGCCTCCAAATTTTGGTGTCATTTTGGTGTTTCTGCTTGCCGTAGCAGTTATCGTTTCCTAACTTTATAGTATAAGTTTTTTATTTCTTTTCTTCTCTACTACTATGAAAGCTAGGAAACTTGGAAAATTTTGCTTGACTCTGTCATCTCAGTGCATAAAATAATGCCTGGCACATGGAAGGAAAGCACCCATTAAATACTTACATTGTGAACAAGTAAGTGAGCGAGTGAAGTTGAATGAATCACTAAAGGACAAGACAGCCGTGGCCTCCCTGGAATTGGGGTCTGTTGGCATAGAGCTGTGAACACATAAGAAGCTGCTCACAGGTGACAGGGGGCCAGTGCCCCACTGTTGGCCAAGCATGTACCATGATGATCTCAAGAGCGGTGTCACCCCTCACTGTACAGGGCAGCTGGAGCCCATGACTAGAGCTTCAGAAAAACATAAGGAAAATTACCTTGGGTCTGAGAACCTCAGACAGGCTTGGAGGAGTGAGCCTTGCACATCTGAGGAAGGAGGAGGCTCTAGGACAAGGATGACTTGGCAAGCGTTGTTTGGACAGGATTTTCCACTTCCCACCCAAGGACACTTTAGGTTGGTTGGAGAACTACTGCTCAATCCCAGCAACCTGTACCTGCAGTTGGATTACTGTTCTCTTTCTGGCCATCCCCTCTTGCTGCCCTCTACCCTCCACCCCCAGGTATGTTGTTTCTGGGAAGTCTGTGAGGAACAGATGATCCATAAGGGTTTGCAAACGTTTATTCCTGGAAGCCACTGCAGCCAGACGTTGTGACATTTGACCATGACCAGTGACATTTCCCCTCTCTTGCCTTTCCAGCTTGGCCATTGCAGATCACCTCCACAAGGGAAGCACCTGATGCTCGCCCCTGGTCACAGAGATTGGTGCAGGCCAATGAGCTTCAAGGAGACATCACTGGGGATTTCTAGGAAGGAAGTTTCCTAGTTCTCTGAGTGACTCTGTCATCAAAAGGAAGAGGAAAGCCAGGAGTCACGGGCAGCCACCTTGTGACTCTGAGATGAGCTAGCCGTGGGATGAAGCAGAACCACAGGAGGCAGAGAGGTGAGAATGAAATGAACAGGCTCTTTGGTGACAGTGCTGAGCTAAGGGAAGCCTGGCCCAGATCTGAGTTTTTCAGTAGACCTAAGTCATTGTATTGCATGTATGGTTTAAATCACTATGAGATGTTGTTGAAACTGAGAACCACCTGATATATGGCTTCTAATTCTTTTTCACAATTAAAGGTAAATTTGCCAGGCATAGCAGTACATCCCTATAATCCCAGCACTCCAGAGGCTGAGGCAGGAGTATCATCATGAGTTTGAGGCCAGCCCTGGTTACACAGTGAGTTCAAGTAGTCTGAACGACATACCAAAACCCTGTCTCAAAAAAAAAAAAAAAAAGGTGTATTGAAGGAGTTTGTCTTAATAAATGAACTCAGGAAGATAGATGTTGTTTCATATTCCCAGATTTTATTGTAGATAAACTATTTTAATTTTATTACTTGTTTGGAATGAAATCTTGTACACTTGCATATTTTGGAATCAGAAAGAGATCTGGAGCTTTGAAGCTGAAATATTCCACTCATAAACTGACAGTCACATTCTGAGGCCAAAATATTCTTCAGCATTTACCATGTTTATACAATGGCTATATAAAGCAGTTGACTGTGTCTACAGATCAAAACAGAATTTACTTCCCTTCTCTGCCCCTCACCCCCTCCAGGTTGAACCCAGGGCCTCATGCATGCTAGGCAAGCACCCTACTGGCTATACTGTCAGCCCTATGATATTTTAAGCCCTATCCTATGAGCATGTTGTGAGGAAGCAATTTGGTATTCATCTGAAGTACTTAGCACAATGTGAGTGCTCAATTCAGGATCACTACTAATACAAACCATATCTGATTGAAGAGTATTTGTTGGTCTGGGGATATAGCTCAGTGGTTCAGCGCCTGCCTGACAAGTGTGAGGTCATGAGTTTGATTTCCCTGTACCAAAAAAAAAGAAAGAAAGAAAAAGTATTTGTTACTCATATGGACTTCCTGTGGAAAAGCTGTGAGGTTGAGCCAGGGAGAAGGACAGCCTAATAGTCATATGGTGAAGTCAGGAAGGCTTATAGCACAAATACCAAGATCCTAGAGACAGGAAAATGTCAAAACCAAAGCCAAAAGTGGCTGCGATCAGACACCTTGAAGGTGGCATGGGAATGGGCCAGAGTAGGTCTCCTAGCCCACATGGCAATTCCACTCCATCCGAAAGAGCTCAGGCTGGGACTTAAGTGGAAAACCTTGAGACACTAGTGTGTTAGTGGCGAAGTCTAGTTACTCACTGAAATCTTAGTCAAGCACACTTTGTGCTATACTACATTCAATTACATTTGCATGGGAATGTATTTTTGTTACATTCAGTACACTTCCTAAATTACCTAAAATCCTCCAGTACAAGAGGCAGAGCACCCTCTTCCCACTTCAAAATGAGCTAAGTGATTATCTTGGAGTAGAGGGAAGATGAACTGGGACTTTTTTATGTACCTTGTGCATTCCTCTGATGGTTGAAGTATTTCCAAAGTATGTGTCTCCTTTAGCATATCAAGAAAACAGATCCATTTGTTTAATAAGCACTGAGCAGTGCCTACCCCTGCATCTTGCGATCAAGACAAATGTTTGATTAAAAAAAAGTACTCCTCAGTCACACTCTTGACATATTGAGGCAACTTAATGTCCACCAGCAAGGTTCGCTTCCGAACTGTGGTGCCATTTTGATGTCAGCCTGGTGACAAGAAATCTATCTACAAGGAGCACTCACTAAGTGGCCTCATACCTTAGGAACACTAAGAAATAACACCAAAGTCCAAGGTTCTTATGAGGATTAATTGAGATCATGCATAGAAAGAGAAACTACAGCCAGACATGGTGACCCATCCCTCTAATGCTGGTGAAAGAAGAAGGAAGGAAGGAAGGAAGGAAGGAAGGAAGGAAGGAAGGAAGGAAGGAAGGGAGGGAGGGAGGGAGGAAGCGAAGAGGGGAATGAGGGAGGAGGTAGGGGAAGGAAAAGTAGAATGCTCTAAGGCATTTATTGTTATTAAACAGACATTAACTTTCTTTATTTAATTATTAAACTTTGGCAACCAATTTCTGTGATTAAACCAGACATTGATGCAGTAGTTTCACAAAAGCAAGGTCAAATATCCCACTAGTTATATGTTTATGTTCCCCTCCTTTTTTACTATTACAGTGAAAAATGTTTTTAAAGGAAGTTCTGTTATGTACACACATTATGTTTTATACAAGCCAATTCCTCTTCACTCGGTGTGGCCCACGCAAGCCAAAACGTTGGACACCCAGGGTCTAGCTCTAAAACTCTAGTCCAGGACCAGCTACATAATTTATGGAACCCACAGCAAAATGAAAATCTGGAGGGGAGGAGGCTTGCTTAACAATGATCAAGAATTTCAAAGCGCAGTAGCAGAGTGTTAAACCAAGCCCATAATTATTATATATCAATTAAAAACCACACAACAAACCAAGGAAGTAGCCCAGGCCCAGCCTCCCAATCAGCCCAGTCCTGTGGCATCAACCTCCTAACAGAGTCTGTCCCTTTAAGTCACTCCCACTGCTGATTCCACCCTTAGTAGTCACACTTTCCCACTGCATCTGCCCCTTAACTGGTTTGTCCAGGTCTCAGTCATCCCCATCCTACACCCTGCTTCCCAGCTCACCCACGACCTTGATCAATTCTGACTGATCAATTCTGATTGCTTATCAGAATCATCTTCCCAGAGAAAGTTCTAGTTACACGCTTCTCCGATTCAGAAACCTTCTAATCGCTACCCCCACTAAACAAAGTAAACCCAAGTCCCTTTGGGTGGCATTCAAGGTCTTTGACAACATGAGCCCTGTCGGGCTTGTCCTCGCCCCTCATTTTCAGAAGGGCCACACCAGCTTCCCGCCATTCTCTGCGCCCCACCCATGCTGGCCTCTGTGGAGTTTTTGCTAGGGCTGCTTCCTCTTGGCTGAGAATGCGCCCCTCATCTTACTATCCTTGAAGCATCAGCCCATAGTCTCACTTGACTTTCTCTGCTGGGATCAATCTCTCCCTCTTCTGAGGTTTCTTTGAACCAGTTATAACCATCTAATTGGCATGGGGGGAGTAGCACAGGTCCTGGGTTCTGGAAGTCAGCTGGCTTGGATTCAATTCCCAGCCTAGGCTTTCCTGGCAGCTTTACATGGAAACAGTAAAGATGCACTACAAAAATATCGGTAGAGAGGCTGGGGATCTAGCTCAGCGGCACAGTGCCTGCCTGGCAAGCGCAAGGTCGTGAGTTTGATTCCTGGTACCGGAAAAAAAAAAAATTGGAACAGTCTCTGTGCAAACGGGCACACCACTGCCATGGCTTGAATGTGTTCCCCCCAAAAGTCCACATGCTAGATATTTAATCCTCAAATTCATCTGCTGATGGTGTTTGGAGGTGGGGGCTTCGGGAGGTGATTAGCCTTGGATAAGGTCATGAAATAGGGTCTCATGGTGGCATTAGGGGCTTTATAGGAAGAGCAAGAGAGAGTCAAGTTAGCAGTTTGCTCCTGTTCCCAGCCTCCTGAACTGTGAAACTAAGTACATTTTCTCTTTTTTTTTTTTTTTTTTCCCCTGCTGATTGAACCCAGGGCCTCACACATGCTAGGCACTAACTTATATTCTTTATACATTACCCTGTCTCCGTTAGCTTTTCTAACAATAGAAACAGGACTAAAATAATCACAAAAGTCCGTTTCTTCCCTTGCCCTTAGAAAGGTTCTTCGTTTGTGCCCCGCCGCAGGGCCTTCCCCACTGCAGCCACATGGTGCTACTCACCACGTTGATCAACTTCCTCTGAGTTTTCCAAGGGCCAGCCCTGCCTAAGCTTCCACCTAACACCAGCAAAACCCTAGCAGGCTCCCTGTTTTGAAGAAAATCTTTATCTTCGGTTTTCGGTTGTGAACATAGGTGCCGGCTACGGGTTGACATGGGTATCCACAGACCCTGAGAACTTTCTGGGTTCTTTGGTGCTGGGGAATGGACCACAGGACCTCACATGTTAGGTAAGGGCTCTGCCCCTGAGCTACACACCCAGAGCCCTCTGAGAACACTTTGAATAAGCAGAAGTCGTATCTTTAGGACCATTCATTTTTATTTTGTGGCCCAGATTGAAAATGAGTTACACCCCCACCAATTTCTGTATCTTTCCCACCTAAATTGCACTCACTCTTACATGGACAGGCAGAAAACTCTGGTTGCTTTGAGGCAATGGGGCATCCTAACTGACACGAAGAAAAAAACCTTCATTTCCTGGGCCAGTGCCACAGCCCCTCCCAGCCTCCAAAGCACGCCAGCCGGCAAGCGGGGAGGGCATTCCCAAAGGCACAGCCTCAGGCACTGCTTCCAATCGACCTTCCAGAGGTTGACTCTGGGCTCCGGGTTATGGAGGTGACTGCTTATTCTGAAAGACGATCTAACCTCAGATAGTGCCAGGTGTCTGGAGCCAACTTCCCCCACTGTGCCTCTTCTCCACCCAGAACCAGGAAGAGGACGCTGGTGGTTAGGCGGCTGCAGAAAAGCCAACCTTAAGACTCTTAATTACTAGTTTAAATAACAGGGTACAACTGGCTTGGGTAACATGATATACTTCACTGGGCTTGTTCATACATATGACTAACAGAAGCTAAAGTTTATACGCCTCAGAGTTACCAATCTTAGGCCGTGGGATCAGGAATTACTGGAGGGGGTAGGTGGCACCAGTGGATCTCTGATGTCTACCCTCTGGAGCCAGGGGGTGACGGACCAGAACAGCAAAGATGTTCCAGGGCCAGCACTTCCCAGGTCATAATATGTGGAGATTTTGACCAACGCACATTAAACCTGCCGGTTTCCCCTGATAAATTATAGGATTAACCTATGATGACTTCAGGGGTCCTCTAATAAAAATATCACCTGATGATTCACGAGGAGAAACCAGGACTTGTGATTTTTGATACAGAAGCGCTTGTCCTTTTCCTAAACAGGAAGACGGCTTTGCTTTCCCACTGCC